TGGGAGGGTCATTACACCGTCCTATAGTCCCAGGAAGTTTGGGCCTCCGGTCCGAGCCTGAGTCTGTTGGAATCGAGAAACTAGCTGAGTGTGTAAGTTTGGCGGAAGCCTGCGGAAGCACTAGGGAACGGCCGCGCAGGGAAAGGTCTTATAATTAGAAGACCGAGCGATGTCAGCAAGGTGCCCCGGGCAGAAATAAGAGGTTATTTGGCGGAGACCGACACAGCTTGACTTGAGTTGAGAGCAAGGGTGCGAAAGCCCGGGTCTTGGTGACGATCCAGTGTCGGTCGGAGTCGGAAACGACTCCGAGGTTCCCCTACTGTACTATTTCGACCAAGTGTTCACAGCATGTCACCCGTCACCTACTTAAAGTGTTCATATTTTTGGGTGTTCATTCCTTGGCAATCATGGGAAACTTACCATAAATGGCAGTCCGGCGAATGCCGGACCGGAAATTTTCGCAGTTTTTAGCCTATTTGGGCCGCAAAATCTTACCGTCACCCATCACCTACACCAAAAGTGTTCAGTTCACGACCCTCTGTCACCCGTCACATGAACACTTGGTCGAAATAGTACAGTAATTGACGATCCGCGTTCTTCCGTTTCTTGCCCTAACGCTTCAGTCCAGGGTCATGTAGGCTACAAATGTTACTGTACTATTTCGACCAAGTATTCGGCCCCTGTGACCAGTGACCACAAGTATTCGATTTTGAAGTATTCGAATTGCGTTTCGGCATTTTCCGGCGGCGGGGTCAAAACCTGCGCAAAACACCGATTCAAATGGCCTGGGACCTGTGACATATTTATCAAGTCTTCATTTCGGCCAGGGCTGTGACCAGTGACCGAATACTTGGTCGAAATAGTATAGGATTGTGATATCCCTTTCCATTCAGAAGGCCCTCCACTGGTAGGCATCCCCGGTACCTCAGGCTGACCTTGAAGCCATAGAAGATGTTTTTCCCCTGAGGTCTCTAGCATCCTGAATTGAATGTTCACTGGGATGAATTCCTGTCACCCTCTTATTGTACTTCACCAATCTGATCCTGCCACTCAGAAGCAGATGAGGCATGATTCTCTTGGATATGCAGGTCACTTTCTGGGCCTTGCCCAATTGAGTTGAGGTTGTATCAATCTGCCACATCTCGTAAGTGAGGGGCCCTCAGGAGTGGCACTGTGCAGACGATAAACTAATCAAAGCAGTTCTGTGACATGGGAGAGTGAACAAATAATTCATGAAATGTGAAAGCAGAATTCATGTTCAACAAATCATTTGAAACAGACATGACACATTGTTGACGTGTCTATCCACCAAAGACTAGAATTCATGACAGCTAGGCCATTTGATTTAACCATGGATGAGGGAAGTCATCTAGAGTTCACATACAATAATCCACTGTTTGTGAGCTGGTCCAAGGCACATCTAGACCACTACACCAAAAGGTAGATAATTGATTAGATAGTACTGATCAATTGCACGCCTATATAACTTATAAGGACACTGGGAGTGTGTCATAAGCTGGCAGGCTTACACTGTTGTTACTATTTTGCCTTGATTTTGCCCCACAGGTCTGGCCATGTATTTGAATAATTTACATGGGACTAGATTTTGACTTTCCATCCCGGGTTCCCGCCGGTTTTCTTCCTGGATACAATGTGAGAACAGGTAGACCAGAGTTAGCCGATGGGATTGGCCAACGGGCTTGCCCCGCTTAGCGGAGTTTGAATTGGCTGGGGGGCTTACGCGGCTTGGGCTTGGATGGGCTTGGGCATGCCCCCACTATCCTCACTGTCAGTATTTCTTCCATAACTGTCCCCCAGTCCATTGTAATCATTTGTACCCTTCCGCTTTAGTCTCGGAATCTCCCGGACATCCTCATCGATGTGATCAGCGATCAAACAGTATTCGGCGACATGACTTATGTTTTGTGCATTCAAATCCAGTCTTCAGCGGGTATTTACTATATATTCACTCCTCTTCTGTCATCCTTCGAAGGGTGAACACTGAACAATAATACTTGTGATTAAGGTTGTCTGTGTCTGCACCTTTGGCTGTAGTTGTACCGCTACATAGTATGAATACACTGCACAAATTTGCCCTGACGCCCTCCCCATCGAACTTTATGGTTTGTTTTCTTCTGGGGGTGTTTCTGCAGAGCAGACTTCCCCTGTTTAACCAACTTCTTCTCTTCAACATCTTCCTCTGCTTTCCGTTTCATTCCGGGGATGAGGATGTCATCGGCTACCTACTCAAGCGGTTTGTGGCACTCGAAGGACAGGGGATGACCATGAATGTGGCCGCCACAGCATCCTTGCCGTTGTTGTGATGCTGAGTAACTCTGCAATCAAGAGTATCATTCAAATGTCACATTTAACAGCTCCCCTAGGTCTGTCTGCGCTGCTAAAAGTTGTGGCAGGGCTGCACCGACACTCATCACCCTTTCATTCCGTTCAGCCTCCACGAGATTGTCCAACACAGTGTGCCTCAGCAAATTTTGGAGTGGTTGTTGAAGAACCTCCTTGAGCTCGGGTGTTGGCACCAAATCCAGTGACTGTAGCCAAAGGGTCCACTTTCAGCTGCGCTCGACCGCCGTATTCCAAGGAGAATATTCATTGAAGTTGGTGACAACTGGATATTGGAGCTCAAAGATGGCAGAAATTGGATCCCAGGTTGGAAGTGAACCAAGCATAAACCCCAGGTGGGCACAGAGATTACAAAAACAACCAGTTATTATTTCGGGGGTCCAACAGATGGTGCGTGAACCCGATTACCAAAATAATGACCATGAGGAGGCGGACTGCCCACCACTTTCCCAAACCACTTTACATAAGCCCAAGCCATTTTCACAAGGATATATTTCTTCCAGTCTCTGCACAGCAAAGCCATTCTTCCCCAATCCCAAGCCACACGTATATGAAACTGTTTAACTTCGTGGGTTGAATTCTTCACTGCTGCTGCTTCATATCTTCTGTCTTTCTTCTGGAAGATTGGGATCTGTCATTCTGATGGAGGACTGGGAGACACGAAAGGAATGGGGCATGCCCAGAGTGCATAGATTTGAATTGTCGCAATTTATAAAGCAGATTTGGTGGCAAGCCGGTGTGATTCGGACTGCGGTGCTACTGCTGTCAAGTCGGTTTGTTGCTTGGCAGACTCAGCAGTTCGTCCTCTAGGGGGACATTTGTATGTCTGAAGTCTCTCGACGGCCGTGGAATTCGTGTTTTATAAATGTGGTGGTGTACAAACTACTCCGTTTTGCAACGGAGGAATCCTAAGGTCGCTGATTCCTTCCCTGTGGGAGAGAAAAGCCTTCCAGTTAACACTGCTTTTCCGTTCTACACTCGAGAACGAGAGAGGTTGGCCCCGATGCGATGCGGAGGGAAGCGCTGGCGTTAGTCTGGGGTATGTTGCTCCTGTTTTTAAGTCTCCACCGCCGTAATTCCCAACTTGGGAGTGTTACCAAACACAAATGTAGGGCGGGTCCGTTGCAATTGTCGCTATTCCGCACAATCTCTCTCTGCTTCGTTCATTTCTTCTGCCTCTACAGAGAATCCCCTTTTTCTGTCAAAGAGTCCGCTCCTTTGAAAGCTCTTGAATGGTGTGCCGTCGTTCTCAAATACGACAGAGTCGTCTGCAGCGTCGTTCGTAGTGGGAGTTCTACTCTGCTTGTGTGTATGCGGCGACAGAGGAGGTGAATATCGAATATGGGTGGGGTATAAGTGTCTCCGCTGCGAGGAAACGGCGGCGGAGTGAGGCGGAAGGGAAGGAAAGGTGTCCCCTTTGGTCTCGGTGACCTTAGGTTCTTTTCATTGACTGTTCCCTTCCGTCCTAGAGCAGTTTTTAAATGTATAGATTGCAAGGGGAGAACTAGATGATGTTACTACAAGTACTACGCCGTATTTATATCCCAGTGGAGCCCAGTGCACTGCCTTCCCAGGAGTAATGTTGAGCCTCCGCTGACTCCATTGTACGTGAAACAGTTTGGCGGAGCCAGCGGAACCGACTCTTTGGTTGCCAGCGGACCCTTGTGGTGGTAATTTGACACAGCGTACCTGCATCATACTTCTGCCAGCAGAATTCCCTCTTTCTACACAAGCCCTCCATGGAGCCGGACTCTCTTCAATGTTAACCTACGGTTATCAACCCGTTTAGGATATTGTGGTTCAGCCATCAGTTATATTTTCTTGTTCAGGCAGTCTCCGCTTAGCGAATTGCCTTCCGATGGTCCTGTATTCTTCAATGGTGTGGGGTTCGAGATTCCACCGCCGTTAATCCCGTTGGTCATTCATTATTACTGGACGGGATTCCGCCATGCGTTCCCTCGAGGCCGAATTGATCCATCTATGCGTGGTTTTTAGTCAACGGGGTGATCCTCCATTTCCGTCTCTGTATTGGTTCCATAGCGTAAGGGTTAATGTGCCGCGAATTCCTGTTGAGACCAAGGATTTTCAGCGGAGACTCCGGGTTCGATTCCTGGCGGGGCCGTCTGTCTTGAACGATTCAGTTTTTATTTTGCTAATGCGACTCGTTTTCCACTGCAATCCTGGTTGTTGTTTCTCATTCAGTATTGATGGGAGGACCTTTCAAATGGCGGGATGGTTTTTTCCAAGCCGTGGAAGCTGTTCCATAGGTGGCGGAAGGGCTGAATTGGCGACCTAACAGTGTTTCCATGCTTTTATCGTTGACAGAATGTGTTTTCCAAGCGACAGAATGGCTGAAATGGAATGGAAACTTAACAGTGTTTGCATGCTTTTATCATTGACGGAATGTGTTTTCCAAGCAGCGGAAGTCGACGGAACGTGTTCTTCGAGCGGCGGAAGGGCTGAATTGGCGACCTAACAGTGTTTCCATGCTTTTATCATTGATGGAATGTGTTTTCCAAGTGGCGGAAGTCGACGGAATGTGTTCTTCAAGCGGCGGAAGGGCTGAATTGGCAACCTAACAGTGTTTCCATGCTTTTATCGTTGACGGAATGTGTCCTTCTTTGTCCCATCTGCATATCGGCGCTGTAGCATAGGGTGTTGCACTGCAGTTTACTTGAGACATAACAGATTGTTTCGCGGATGTCCCGGGTTCGACTCCTGGCAGCGCCGTCTCTTGTTAACGTTCTGAGTATGCTCGTTTTGTATGGGAATTTCCTCCTTCTCCGCTAGTCGTTTCCACCGTCGGGAGGAATATTATGAGTTTCCGGAGTCGGTGCGTGGAGCCGGCTCACACCGGGCGCAAGCCCGTTCACTAGGAACGGTCTGGTTCACATGACTGAATTCCTAGCTGCCGCCGCTCCATCTCTTCTGTTGTTCTGACGGAGGATTGGGAGACAAAAAAGGAATGGACATACCCAGAGTGAAAAAATGTGATTTATCAGAATTTACCAACCAGATTTGGTCGCAAGTCGGGCACAAGCCCGTTGGTCAGGAATGGCTTGTCACATAGTCGAATTCTTAACTGCTGCCGCTGCATCTCTTCTGTCTTTCTGATGGAGGAATGGCTCAGATCAAAAGGGTGCAATATCCCCAAGCCCATTGATTATTTTTTGGCTGGAGCCATCAGGCAGATCAGTAGCATAGATGGGTGATTTACACGGTTCTGAAACTAATTTCATGTCACAATGTCTAGGTACCAGCGGAGTGCACTGAGCCCAGCAAGCCCGTAATTTTGGGGCAAATTGACAATGTTGCCTGAGGCCGTGTCCAGCACCAACCGCATATCATCGCACCTGTAAGCGAAACATTGGGGGAAAATTGCAAGCCCGGAAGTATGTACCTACTTCAGACAGTGTTTACACACAGATTTATCAAATAGGACGTTTGGGACGAGGGATATGTGCAAGCCCCTTTCTCGGCTAAGCAAGCAAACGGGCTTGCAAGCCAATATGCTGGGCTTGGGCTTTGATCACCACTCAAATCCAAGCCCAAGCCTGTTTGCGCGGGGACAAGCCCATTGGCCAAGCCGAAAACATCACTCTCACAGGTAGACAGGTCCCTCCTGTAAGAAAAACAAACAGAGGTTCAGTGGACTTGTAAAGTAAAAAGGACGTACATATGGCAAGGCAATTGCTGAGACCAGCCGAGACAGCCGCACCTTCGTTGCCACTTGCCATTTCCATCGGTTAGAGGTACCGCGCCGCCAGTAACGACGACTGACAAATGGAGCTTTTCCCACTTAGAATTGACTCTTAATTGCTGAGGAAAATTAACATGGCTGTGAGGCAGGGATTCAACGGGCCGTGGAGGTGAAGACCCGTGCCGTAGCCATGCCATCAGCCCCTGGCAAAATCACCGACAAGGCTGCCACGGCACCTGTGGCACGGGTGCCATGGAACCGTGGGGCCCTGGTTCAGCACAAGCCATACCAGTCTGCCTGCATGGAACAGCACATGCACACCATGTACTACCTACCGTTGCACTATCCCTGGATAAAGCAGGTGCACTCAATATGCTACCAGGGGTTTCTGCCTTATGTTTGCGTTGGAATAGTATTTAGGAATAGCTAAGGTACTAACACTCTTTTTCTGTTCTTCCACTTTTGCTTCAGGTATCAACTTAGTTCTACAGCATGATGGGAAACCGGGTGCGTGAGCTTGGCTTGGAAGATATCTGAAGTTGGGGACAATGAAGTACATAATTGCCTGTAGTACTCCGGGATACTTCCCGAAACCCGCGTTCTTGAGCGGGACCGTGCCATGTGATTCTACCTACCTACCTAAGTATGATTGCAGACAGAACTTCATGACAAGGTAATTTTGATTCTTTCCGTTTGGGATTTGAAGATTCAGAACCCCACTGTTTTATCAACAAAATTTGTGTTTCGAGCCCTATCATACGGTGAGAAAATAAAACGTAAAATTTGGCCGGCTGACCAAAAAAAATAGTGTACCTCTTGGAGCCTCCAGCGCATTGGAAATCCTCTTGGCAAGACATTTCAACGTAACAAGTGCATTGAATGGCTCTCCATCACTGGGGGCAGTGACCGGGGCACTTGACATCCAAGTGCCATGCATGCATGTGCCCAGCATGTCTGTGTGACATGCAACAAAGGCCTTTGTAATCTTCACATCTCATATTAACAAAGTAGAACTAAGTGTTTAATTAAATACAGCACTTGTTCCCCACTCCTCCCCCACATGTCACTGTGTGAGGTCGGGTTTAGGCAGGACCGCGGTGTGCGTGGTGGGAGCAGGACAAAAGTATTGTATGTAATTAAACACTGAGTTGTACTTTATTAATATAAAATGTAAATACAGACTACAAAGGCCTTTGTGGCGTGTTACAAACACGGTGGACATTCAACTGTCATCTGCAACACAAGTTGCAGCGGTCATCCAACAGCGACTTGAGCTGTCATTTGGCTAACTCCGAGCTGTCATTTAGCTAACGCCAGCCGCTTTGACCTTTCAGACTTTTCCGTGGCCACGCTGCAGCCTTGCGCCCTCATGCTTTGGTCCATTTCCTTTGTGTACATACAGATTGCGACAACCATAATATTCTTCACCACGCTCAGTTTTGCCCTGATTAGTCTCGGACCATCCTCTCATGACATCCCATTCTGGGAACCCTGTCATGAGAGTCTGGGCCTATCCCAAGTGATTAGCTGGACTACTGCGCTATCAAAATCCCGGTGTTTTCCGGCATTTCCCACCTTTATGAATTTTGGCATTTCTGACTCAATTCATTTGAAAGCTTGGAGAGACATCTGTTTGAGCTTATTGAAGGAGACTTTCTGCCAACTCAGAATTGCACAAAGATCTTCGTGAACCCCAAGAAGCAGGATGCCTCTGTGTTCCATTAAGTCACCAGCAGCACTGCCACACCATTGCTCTCTGCTAAATTTCGGAGGCTGCCCTACGTTTCCTGAGGGGATTGAAAACATTCGGAAGAGACAGAACATGTTCGACTCGACTATTGAAGAACAGTACCTCCTAACTTCCTCCATAGGTGTCCCATAGATGGTCAAACAAGTACCTGAAAATCCGAAGATTCGTAACGCAGTAGTGTGGTTATTTAGCCGAGATAGGCCCAGACTCTCATGACAGGGTTCCCAGAACGGGATGTCATGAGAGGATGGTCCGAGACTATGCCCTGATTGCCCAAAAAGAAAATACTATTGCTGTTTTCCACAACACCAAAAAAAAAGTTTGAGGACGTCGGGTGCTCGAGGTTGCAGGTTCGGACCGGGCAGCCGACATCATTTGTCCGTTTTAATCACAACCAAACAATGCGTGATTTATGGCGCGTCATCATTTTCTCGCTCATTTTGACAGCTCTTGACGTGAAACTGAGTTGGAAGATGATTTTGCATGACATTCTGAGGCTCTAGTTGGCCTCAATTCTTTTCTGTATCTGAAGTGATGAGAATTGGTTCAAAACAATTGCAATGCTCTCAATTTTGAAAACAATATTCCAGGCCTGTAGAAGGCCCTTGCTCGGAAAGCATATTATTTCAAACTAGCCTTCTTTGGTTCATTCATGAGATCCAAATCTGATGTACGGGGCTCTCAGATGTATTGCAATGATATTGAGAAAATCCTCATCTTAAGTACCTGGTCAGGTACTGTACTATTTCGACCAAGTATTTGGTCACTGGTCACAGCCCCCGCCGAAATGAAGACTTGATAAATATGTCACAGGTCCCAGGCCATTTGGATCGGGGTTTTTGCGCAAAATGGGGTGTTTTGACCCCGGAAAATCCCGAAAAATCGCCTAAAAAGGCAATTTGAATACTTCAAAATCGAATACTTGTGGTCACTGGTCACAGGGGCCGAATACTTGGTCGAAATAGTACAGTAGTAGACCCTGTAAGCACAATTATTCTCACTAATATGTTGATATAGAGCATTTTAATAACTGCAGGACCCTCATCCACAGAAATCCACATTCAAAATGAGCCATAATTTTGAGAGATTTGAGAATCCGGCTTATCATGGAATAATATGGACTGCACTCAAGTACAAAGTTAGTGCTGGTCCAGGAGGTCACAATCCGAACTCGATTCCTCAACACATCCAGAACTACAGCGGCATATTTTGTTATTCAGCTACATGGAGGAGCATCCACAGGACTATCTTTGTTGTCAGTACCACTCCCATGACTCCGGGGCACAAATCTGGGAAGCAAAGGACCTCCCTCCTCTCCTCTCCCCTTTTTTTCTAGCATGAGGAGGCAGGAGGATGGAGGAAAGACTGGGGACAATACAGGATGGGACCAGATGAGGTGCACAAAATAGGTGTGGTAGGAGGAACTCCTCCTCTGAGTGCCTACTTCGCTCGTTATTTCATTGCAGCGAGCTCAGATCCAAACATGAAGTTCATGCACAGGTGGGATGGGGCAACCTTTGAGAGTTTCATTGCCCTCTCGACTCCCACACTTTGGTCTGTGATTCATGTGCAGTTTTCGCCGGGTATATCAGCAATCAGGTGACACTCTCTGGGAAGAAAAAGAAGGGAAAAAAGCTCGAGATGACCCTCCTCGTGGTCGCTCAAATTTATCATTCCAGTATTGCTTGTTTCTTCCCCAAAATCATGTTTCACCAGACAGCTCCCCCAGGCCCAGGACAAGTACTGGAGAGGGATATTCAGATCCAGAAAGGCTGGGAATGTTTCCAAGTTGAAGGAAATTCATTGAGGAGGGGCTGGGAGAGTCGGACCACGTAACAGAAGAGCTGAATGCATCAATGGTGGATGGCAGAGGTAAGTTGGAGGTAAGCATCACACATCATTTCACACATGCTGCGACTCCACACACATTGAGCAGCAAAGTGAATCATAGAAAAGAAAAGAAAAATTGGGCTTGTGGATATTCTACTAATTGTCTGTATAAATTCCCAAAGTGCAAGAAATAAATTCTACCATGTAATGCTACAAACAAAATATAATGAGTGTATCAACATCCTCCATGCCTCGTTGCCTCACACCCCTCCTTGCTACATATGTACTGCATCTCACCGTACATCTGCTGCCCATGCAGGCTGAGAAACCCACCATAGTCTGCAAGCAGATAATACTGAGCAATGGCCTCCTGGAATAAGGCATTTGTGAGCATGTTAAACTGCCTGGTGTACACAGTCGTCTCCATTGCGAGATTCATCTCCTTTTTTT